GAGAAAAGAAAAGAGAAAAAGAAAGGAAGAAAGACAGAAGGCATTTAATCTAGGAAAGTTAATAATACCGATCGTTAATTTTACACGCGTAGGCGTAGCGTACGGTTGTGTGTAGCCAGTCGGCCGCCAGTGTAAGAGTGCGCAGAAAATAGAATTTACTCTAGAAAGGCCACGGAATTTCACCGATGCAATCAATGAGCGAGCGGTCTCGTTTGAAAAATCCTGGGCATTCTCTCCACCTCGAATCCATTGTGTCCGTCCGACTAGATAGGCTTTTCTCTGCCGTGGTTAGGGGATAAATACTGGCGCGCACGTTTCGAGCACATCTCATGGCCACGCCAGCCATGGAGAGGGTTTTCGGAAAAAGGCCGAAAATGGAGGCGCTGTGGATTGATCGCTTGGAGAGCTGAATTTTCGTTCGATCGGTCCGTTGAGAACCACGGCGTTTCGTACCACCATACACTGTATTACACATTCACAAACACGCATACTTCTACGTATAAAGTACGCGTGTACCCTTCACCAGTGCGGAGGAGAGTACCGAGGCGAGCCGAAGGTGACCGAGTAGCGGCGCCGAGCGGAATCGTCATCGACGCAGCGTCGGGCCAGCTCCGCTCACTCTGCTCCGAGCTGTCGAACGCGACGCACGCGCCTCCGCTTCGCTTCTTCCTTCTCTACGAGTATACTCTCCGCACTTAGAGACATATTTCCCTCGCTTTCTCGCCATCGAGTATTATCATCATCATCAAGCCGAGAGAAGGAGGCCGGCACTCGTCTCTCTCGAACTCCGCTCCTAGGAACTCCTCAGTCTCAGTCTGTTCGTGAACGTCCAGCTAGTTCCCAGAGCTGCTACCATCATCAGAGAACATACATCACTGCTCGTCTTGTTCTCGCGCGTTTGCTTTTTGGATCTCTCGCCGTCGAGAAGGCCGCTTCTCTGCTCCGCTCTACCTTCGTCTCGTCTCGCGAATAACCGCTTTTGCCGCTTCAGACTCGTGCTGTCGTTTCTCCACTGAGCTACAATGTCTTCCTGTTGAAACCACGTTCCACGTTCGATCTCGCTCGCGCGTCAACTTCCCGTCATCGGCCAGATATTTCTTTTTTTGGTGCTCGTTCTCGAAGGACGGAGTCGTATCTCGGAATCGTAAAAGAAAAAAAAAAAAAA